ATACTGGTAGCCAGATTTCGTTCATTTTCATGGTCTCCTCCTTTCTGTTGAAATTGTCCACATGCTTGTGGATTTCAATGGCTTCTCTGTGTAGTCTGACATGGTGGTTGTTGGTGTGGTCCAGCATTTCTGTGTTCTCAAATAAAATGCTGTGTCCAGGTTGGTTCATCAGGTGCTCTGCTATGGCTGATTCCTCTGGTTGAAGTAGTCTGCAGTGCCTTTCATGTTCCTTGATTCGTGTTTGGGCAATGATGCGTTTGGTGGTCCCTATGTAGACTTGTCCACAGCTGCATGGTATACGGTAGACTCCTGCAGAGTCTAAAATTATTATTATTATTATTATTATTATTATTAAACTTTATTTGTACCCCGCTAGCATCTCCCGAAGGATTCGATGCGGCTTACACAGGCCGAGGCCTCAACACACAACACAACAATACAATCTAAGCAAATCAAACAATTAAAAACAGAATAAAGCAAAATAAACAACAGGCACAATACAGTAAACACAATAAAACTGGGCCGGGCCAGAGCAATGGGTACAAGATTAAAAGTGCTGATGTGACAGGAGGTGTATATAGGGCTTCCAGGGCAAGTGCGATGTGCGATGTGCAGCAATCATTGGTTCTGATAAAGTGCTTATGGGACTTGGTGGTGGAGATTTCCTAATCTGGGAAGGCGCATCGGAAAAGCCAGGTCTTCAAGTTCTTTCTGAAGGCAGCCAATGTAGGGGCCTGTCTAAGGTCTTTGGGGAGGGTGTTCCAGAGTCGGGGGCCACCACGGAAAAGGCCCTGTCCCGCGTCTCCACCAAGCGCGCTTGCGACGCCGGAGGGATCACGAGCAGGGCCTCTCCAGATGACCGAAGAGAATGTGTGGGTTCGTAGATGGAGATGCGGTCACGCAGGTAGGCTGGTCCCAAACCGTTCAGGGCTTTGTAGGTAAGCACCTGCACCCTGAATTGGGCTACTACAGCAAAACAGCAGAGAGGAAACAATCAGGCACAACTTAACACCTCTCAACAGAACAATTTCCCAGGCTCAGCCAGGCCTTCAAATGCTAATGAAGGTGGTCAGCTGAAACATTCACACCTAGCTTCAGCAGAGAGCTCTGTGCCCCACCCCAGTCATTCCACAGATATATAAACCCATTTTCCTATTTCCAACAGACCTCACTACCTCTGAGGATGCTTGCCATAGATGCAGGCGAAACGTCAGGAGAAATGCCTCTAGAACATGGCCCTATAGCCCGAAAAAACCTACAAGAACCTAGTGATTCCAGCCATGAAAGCCTTCGACAATACAGAGAGAGACTCTGTTTACAAGGTGGCTCTGGGTTGCCACTGTCAGCCTCTCCAAATAATGGAGCTCAGCCTCGATAATCGAAACCCCTGTTCTGCGGATGAAGCAGATGAACATTAATGTGGCGAAAGGAAGCAATTGCAACCTCTCCGGCTTCGTGGCTACACACAGGCGGGATCAGCCCCAAGCCTTGGATCAGAGACAAGGGGATTCCCCTGCTTTGATTGTTGGCAGAGCCCTGAAACGATGTTCCCGCTGCCTTGAAGGGAGGGAGGGCACCCGGTTGGAGCATATCCTGCTGGCTCCCAAAGACATCGGCAAGATGACACAACGTGCAACGCCCCCTCTTTGCTGCAGAGGAGAGCTCTGTACTGCTGAAAAAATTAAGTTGTGGAAGGAAAGGTGGAAGGAGGGGAAATACCAAGAAGGCAGGGATGCTCCTCAAGCAGCTGATTCCAGCCAAAGGATGGCTGCATGGATGCAACAGTGGGACACAGGGGAAGCCATGTTCTACTAAGGACAGGCCGGAGGTTATGTTTAGTTATTTGTTTGTTCACGACATTTATATGCCGCCCTTCTCACCCCAAAGGGGACTCAGAGCGGCTTACAAGTAAAAAATAAATACAATATATTATATTATTACCATAGCACAATATTAATATTATATATTACATTGTACTATAACATTATCTATATAAATAAAAATGTAATGTTCGTTTGTGGGATGAACAGAACTCAAAAACCACTGGACAAATTGACACCAAATTAGGACACAAGACACCTAACAACCCAATGTATGTCCTTCACTCAAAAAAATTGATTTTGTCATTTGGGAGTTGTAGTTGCTGGGATTTATAGTTAACCTGTAACTCCACCAACAATGGAATTGAACCAAACTTGGCACACAGAACTCCCATGACCAACAGAAAATACTAGAAGGGTTTGGTGGGCATTGACCTTGAGTTTTGGAATTGTAGTTCACCTCCATCCAGAGAATACTGTGGACTTAAACAATGCTGGATCTGGACCAAACTCTACACGAATACTCAATATGCCCAAATGTGAACAACGGTGAAGTTTGGGGAAAATAGAATCTTGACATTTGGGAGTTGTAGTTGCTGGGATTTGTAGTTCACCTACAATCACAGAGCATTCTGAACCCCACCAACGATGGAATTGGGCGAAACCTCCCACACAGAACCCCCATGGCCACCAGAGTGGACCACAGCAACACATGGCAGGGGGCGGCTAGTACTGTAATATTATTAGTAATATTACATTTAATATAAATATATATAATTGTAATATCATATTATTATTAGTATTATATTGTATTACATTATAGAATAATGTAACCAGCGTTTGCCAAACTAAAATTTCATTTGCCAAACAAATTCCTTCCCACCACAGCCCCCAGCTATATACTTGGTACATCTGCCAATTAAAAAGCTCTGGACCATCCTCCAAAAAATGGGGTGCCCTGAGAAATTTGGGAACATCCTGCAGCTCTTCCATGATGACATGATGCCAGCAGTCTTGGACAGCAATGGCTCCCAAAGTGACCCATTTGAGGTGGAATCAGGTGTCAAACAGGGATGATGTGTTATTGCCCCAACCTTATTTTCCACCATCATTGCAATGATACTTCATTTTGTTGATGGGAAGCTATTTAACCTCAGCCAAAACCAAGGTCATAACAATATCTGTTATAGAACTCCAATATGCTGATGACAATGTCATTTGTGAGCATTCAGAAGAAGAAATACCTCTAAATATCTTTGCAGAAGCATACGAGAAGCTCAGCCTGTCACTGAACATCGAGAAAACCAAAGTGCTCTTCCAGCAGTCACCAGCCAATCCCTTTCCAATGCCAGAAATACAGCTTAATGGTGTCACATTAGAAAATGTGGACCATTTCCACTCCCTTGGCAGCCACCTCTCCACAAAAGCCAACATTGACACTGAAATACAACATCGCCTGAACTCTGTGAGTGCACCATTCTTGTTTATAAAGCTATTGACCTCCCAACCCTGTTCTATGCCTGCGAAACATGGACTGTCTACAGACGTCACATGCAACTCCTGGAACGATTCCATCAGAGCTTCCCCTGAAAAATCCTACAAATCTCTTAGGAAGACAAGCGGACAAATGTTGGCGTGCCAGAAGAAGCAAAGACCACCAGTATTGAAGCGATGGTCCTCCATCATCAACTGTGCTGGACTGGCCACGTTGTCCGAATGCCCGATCACCGTCTCCCAAAGCAGATGCTCTACTCCAAACTCAGGAACGCAAAGCAGAATGTTGGTGGACAGGAAAAGAGATTTAAAGATGGCCTCAAAGCCAACCTCAAAAACTGTGACATAGACACCGAGAACTGGGAAGCCCTGGCCCTTGAGCGCTCTAACTGGAGGTCAGCTGTGACCAGCAGTAGTGCAAAATTTGAAGAGGCACAAATGGAGGGTGAAAGGGAAAAGCGTACCAAGAGACGTCAAGCCAACCCTGACCGGGACCGCCTTCCCTCTGGAAACCGATGTCCTCACTGTGGGAGAACATGTGGATCAGGAATAGGGCTCCAAAGCCACCTACGGACCCACCACCAAGACACCAGACTTGGAGGACCATTATCCTCAGGATACGAGGGACCGCCTAAGTAAGTAAAGTAAAAAGCTGTGGATGCTCAGAGGTAGTCTGAGCAAAGAAGCTAGAAACATCTCTCTCCCTCTCTCTCCCTCCCCTCAAAAAAAGAGAGACTCTCCAGTGTAACCACTAAATTAAATCGATTACTGGAACAGAAAACCAATTTCAGATTGCAAACACACACACATAGCGAAATCTTCAGAGTTCATGTCTGATGAAAAAGACTCTTCCTTTCTCATTTTATATGAACTCAAGGGGATTCCCTTAACATTTACATTCTATTGCAACTATATGACAATTCTGTAATTGTGTTTGGTATAAGTTTTCACCCACCCACACACACATATATATACACATACACACCGTATGCACTCGTTATTTGTTATGTATATAATTCAGATTGCTTACTGTATTGTATATGTGTGTGTTAGTATGCAATTTGACTTGTAACTCTTTGTTGTGGGAGAGGCTGCAGTTCATGTGATCAGGACTGGGCTTGTTCAGGACTCAGACTCCATTTTAGAACAATGTGTGGTTTAGACTTCAGTAGGAACAGGGGTATGTCTTTAGTATGCAGGAACAGTACAGTTTAGATTTCAATGCAGGAACAGTATGCTTAGAGCCTTATTCAACTCTCCAAACAAAGAGATGCTTTGGACTATGGACTACTGATTCGATGGGACTATTGATTATAATATAGCGATATAGTTTTGGGGTTTTTTTTGTCGTGTCAGGAGTGACTTGAGAAACTGCAAGTCGCTTCTGGTGTGAGAGAATTGGCTGTCTGCAAGGACGTTGCCCAGGGGACGCCCAGATGATTTTGACGTTTTTATCATCCTTGTGGGAGGCTTCTCTCATGTCCCCACATAAGGAGCTGGAGCTGATAGAGGGAGCTCATCCGCCTCTCCCCGGATTCGAATCTGCAACCTTGTCGGTCTTCAGTCCTGCCGGCACAGGGGTTTAACCCACTGAGCCACCGGGGGCTCCTAGTGGTACAGGGTCCACTTGCTGCTTTCCCAGAGGAATTACAAATACCACAATACCTGGGCCAGTGCTATACTTACACAGAGTCTCCTTGCACAAACAACTCTGGCCTCTCTTTCAATAGGTTCTCTTTAATCCACATGAGCAGGCGCCGAACATCCCCTGAAAGAAGAAAGTACAACAAGGCTTGAGTTGGGTTTTCATCTGTGACACTTCCCTGACCTCCATTCTTAACGCTTAAAAGAGCCCTGCTCTCGGTACCACCACCTTCACAGTCGCTACTGTTGGGGACGCAAGACAGGGCCTTCTCAGTGGTGGCCCCTTGGCTATGGAACTCCCTCCCTAATGGGATTAAATCATCCCCTTCCCTCTTGTCATTTTGTAAACATGTGAAAACTTGGCTTTGGGGGCAAGCATTTGGCCCAGTATAATTATCTGTGCATTGAATGAAACATGCAGAATAATCACAGGATGTCTTAAACCTGCACCTGTTGATAATCTCTACAAGTTAGCTGGCATTGCCCCCTCTGAAGTGTGGCGGGAAGTTGCTGCTAAATGTGAGGGAAATAAGGTTGAACACTGTGAAAGCCACCCACTACATGGCTGCCAGCCTCCTCCCAGTAGACTCAAATCAAGGAAGAGCTTTATGAGAACTACCACTCCTCTTGGTGTCCCCCCAGCAACAGCAAGGGTGTCCCCCTGGGCAGCTAAACCAGGAAACCCCAACTGGATCCCCCCCCCCCAAACAAAAGAGGGTCTTCCTCCAGGGGCAAACCAAGGATGGGCAACTTGGAAGTCCCTGAACAGACTCAGAAGTGGAGTGGGCAGAACAAAAGACAACCTGGCAAAATGGCAGAACAGACAACTCTGCATCTGTATGCTTGTCCACTGTGCCCTGCCTCATATACAGAGGAGGAATTGTTGGAGGCTACAGACAATACTGTTGCTGTTGCCCGTTTTTGGTCAAAAGATATTTAGCCAACTGCGCTCCTTCTTTTTTTATTGGTTTTATGCTAATTATGCAATGCTTTTGATACGAAATAAATAAATAAATATGTGCAATACAGTTGGATTTGGATTGATGAATATGATTATCTGGCTTTGGATATTAAGTAGAGTCTCGCTTATCCAATCTTCGCTTATCCAACTTTCTGTATCATCCAATCCAGTCCTGCGACCCCGAAGACAGCTTCAGTTGGGCCACTTAACCCCTCGCCTGCCAGACTGGGCCCAGGAGGCAGTCCCCTTCCCTCACTTCAGGAAGTCTACTAGAGACACCCAGCATACTAACTGTGAAGCCCTTTCTCTGTAGAGAGCAGGGACACACCTCTCTCAATCTCTGCCTTTGAGCCCAACTCTTTTCCAGCCTATGTCTATAGGGAAGGAATGGAAAGAGGAAAGGAAGGAAGTAAATAAGGAAGGAAGGAGATAATGTAGAAGGGAAAGAAAAAGAGGGGAAGGCAGGAAAGAGGTAGAGAAGGAAGCAAGGCAAGAGAGAGGGACGGAAGGAGAGAGGGAAAGAAGGTGAGAAAGAGGGAAGGAAGGAAGGAAAAAGAGAGAAAAAAGGATGGAATCAAAGATTGAAGGAAGGAAGGAAGGAAGGAAGGAAGGAAGGAATAAAGGAAGGAAAGAGGGTAACAATAGCAGCTATTTAATCAAATGCAGAATATATTCTTGCTCCAGCAGTAAAGATTACAAAAGGACATGTGAGCAGTATGAAGAAGGGAGGGAGGGAGGGAGGGAGGGAGGGAGGGAGGGAGGGAGGAAGGAAGGAAGGAAGGAAGGAAGGAAGGAAGAGAGAGAAGGAGAAACCAAAGAAGAGGAAGGAAAGAAAGCGGAGAAAAAAAGAAAGGACAGAAAGCAGAAGGGAAAGAAAAAGGGGGGGGGGAAGCAAAGCATGAGAGAGGGAAGGAAGGAGAGAAGGAAAGAAAGTGAGAAAGAGGGAGGGAGAGAAGGAAAGAAAGTGAGAAAGAGGGAGGGAGGGAGGGAGGGAGGGAAGGAAGGAAGGAAGGAGAGAAGGAAGAAAGGTGAGAAAGCGGAAGGGAAAGAAAAAGGGGGGAAGCAAGGCAAGAGAGAGGGAAGGATGGAAGGAAAGAAAGAGAAAAAGAAGGATGGAACCAAAGATCAAAGGAAGAAAAGAAAGAGGTAGAGAAGGAAGAAAGGAGAGAAAGCATAAGGGAAAGAGGAAGCAAGGCAAGGAAGGAGAGAAGGAAAGAAGGTGAGAAAGAGGGAGGTAAGGAAGGAAGGAAAGAGAAAAGGAAGGATGGAACCAAAGATCAAAGGAAGGAAAGAAATGAGGTAGACAAGAAGGAAAGAAGGGAAAGCGGAAGGGAAAGAAAAAAGGGGGAAGCAAAGCAAGAGAGAGGGATGGAAGGAGAGAAGGAAAAAAGGAAAGAAAGAAGGAGGGAAGGAAGGAAAGAGAGAAGGAAGAATGGAACCAAAGATCAAAGGAAGGAAAGAAAATGAGATAGGGAAGGAAGAAAGAAGAGAAAGCAGAAGGGAAAGAAAAAGGGGGGAAGGAAGGAAGGAAGGAAGGAAGGAAGGAAGGAAGGAAGGAGGGAGGGAGGGAGGGAGGGAGGGAGGGAGGGAGGGAAGGAAGGAAGGAAGGAAGGAAGGAAGGAAGGAAGGAGAGAAAAAGGGAGGGAACTTTGGCCACAGCAACTCATGGCGGGCACAGCTTGTAAATAATAAAATTTGAGATGTGTATCAGTCGTGCTAAAAAGCTTTTGTAAGCTGCTCTGTCTTTTCTTGGCACCAAAATGACAGAGATGTTGGTACCAATTAGTTCTCTAAGATGAAGGTATTCCAAAGCTGGGCTGCCACAGCACAGAAGGCCTCCTCCCACATCTTCCCACTATAAATGGATGGGACACAGAGAAGGAACCCTTCAGTACATGTCAAACCACAGGCAGGTGTACAAAGGGAGAGACATTGTGAGGTCCAATCTGCTTTAGGGCTTGGAGTATTACCAGCACTTTGAATGTGTATCAGAGCATATTGTCTTTACAAACAGCTTGGTAGGGTTTCTCTAGGGTACTCTGGCTAATGGTTGTGCTGCTGCAATTTGCACTAGATCTAATGACAAGGGCAAGGCATAACTATTTGAATTAACAAATGAATCTTGAAGGAAACAGAGAACACCCTGCTAATGGGCCTTCCCACCAGGCTAGCAGTCCTATTCACTAAGCAAACGACAGGGCAGTGATGACTGCAATGTTGCTAAGGGTGGGAGAAAAAAAATATAAATATACAAATAAGGGAGAGGAAGCAAAATCTTATTCCGGATGCAGCGGTTGGAACAGATGCAAAGGAGAAAGAGCAACCAAGAGGGCTGAGATCACTCTGAGATGAAAAAAGAACAAGATCGGCAGGAGACACCTCCGAATGGGAAGGGAGACACCATCTACATAAATAAAAATGTAATGTTCGTTTGTGGGATTAACATAATTCAAAAACCACTGAACGAATTGACACCAAATTTGGACATGAAACACGTATCAGGCCAACGAGTGACCATCACTCATAAAAAACATTGAAAAACACAGCAGAAGGGACGCAAAATCCGAAAAGACGTTACAGCCCATGTGCAAAAATGGCTTCCCTGGCAAACAAAACACGCAATAGCGTATCCATATACTCTTCCGGACTACAGTTCTCAGAAGGCCCTTTAGGAGAGGAGGATGATCCAAATGCACTGCTTTCAAAATGCAAGTTTTTTTCTTCTTGGATTTTTTTGAGAGCATCCCAATCTCTGCATTTTTCCAATTTTCTATTCCTGGACTGCAATCCCCAGCAATCCTCCAGATAGATAGATTAGATAGAGATAAATAGGTAGGTAGGTAGGTAGGTAGGTAGGTAGGTAGATCAGGAGGACTGCTGGGAGTTGCAATCCTAGAACAGGAAGAGAAGGAAGAAAGGGGAGAAAGAGGAAGGGAAAGCAAAGGGGGAAAGAAAGGGAAGAGGAAGAGAAGGAAGGAAGGAGAGAAGGAAAGAAAGGGAAGGAAGGAGAGAAAGAAGAGAAAGAGGGAGGGAGGGAAGGTTGGCCACAGCAATGCCTGGCGTGTACAGCTAGTCATAAATAAAGATGTTGAGCTGGTCACTAGGGTGGCGGTGGCTCAGCAAGAGCAAGGGGAGGGTCTGCTCTCTAACCATTGCTCAGACACCCTCCCTATGGGGCCTGACCTTGCTCTCTCTGCTCCCTCCGTCTCACCCCCCACCCCAGGGAATGGGGCCATTTATCATACTGACCACGGCCCAACTCCAATTTGCTGAGGTCACTGACTGCAGCCAAGCATCACCCCGCCCACATTCTCCGCCACTGGCCCAGAGTCATGACAAAAGCGTCCCCGCCACCTTGGCCCCCTCCCCAGACGCTGTGGCTGAGCCTTCACATTTATCCACCATTCCCCACCCTCCATTTGCAAGGATGGGAAGAGCATTTGTAATCGTCCCTTGGCTGATAGATGATATACAGTGTTCCTTCGCTACTTTGCGGTTTGCTTTTTGCAGACTCGCCATTTTGCAGGGGTTTTCCCCCTGGCAACAATGGAGTTTGGAAGGGGTTTCACCCTCCCCATCAGGAGAGAGGCAGCCAATCATAAAAAAAGAGAGAGAGGAGATACAAAGCAGTATGTAAATCATGGCCTATAGCCCCTTCCTTATATATCTGAGCATACATGTTCGAACGCATCTCCCTTTATGAACCATCTAGGACCTTAAGATCATCTGGGGAGGCCCTGCTCTCATTACCGCCTTCGTCACAAGTACATTTGGTAGAGACAAGAGACAGGGCCTTTTCGGTGGTGGCCCCTCGGCTGTGGAACGCCTTCCCTATAGATAGCCACCTCCCTTTTAACATTCCGGAAAAAAGTCAAGACGTGGCTTTTTGAACAAGCATTTGCAAAAGCAGAATAACTGACACAGGAAAATGGAATGACTAGACAATGAGTCCGGACAACATTTTTAACAAGGAGACACTATGAATTTATATTTTATTGATTTGTTTAGTTTTTAGTATATGTTATATTTTAATTGTACTGAAGACATTGTAAGCATTGAATTTTGCCCTGTTAACCGCCTTGAGTCGCCTGCAAGCTGAGAAAGGTGGTATACAAATACAGTAAATAAATGAATAAATTATATCTAGCAAAAAAGTGTGTGGT